TACTTGTTTTTGTTTTGATTTTGAACGGAACCTTTCATTGCGGCGGGCTTATCTATGGTCACCCGGTCTTTTATCTCTAAGAGGATGGAGTAGCAGTCTTTGTTAAATTTGTACTTTGAGACATACGGTTTAAACTCTTTTTCTTCTTCTGGGACGACTAAGCAGAATCGTCAACCGCCCAGATTTGTTTTCTCTTCTTGCTCTCTTCTGATTTCAGAGCCGGCTAAGCTGACCGACTCTCTTTTTGTTTATCAGGCTTCTTGGAGTCTGATTGTTTGTTGGAGGAACAAAGCTCGGTCACTTGTATATAGGCTTTCGCCTCCATCAGTGCCTCCTGGAGAGTAAAGACTCTCTTTCTAACGAGGTCGAACTTAAATTAAAAGTTGACATGTCCTTCAGACCTTTAAAAAAGTCTGTGTAAGCTACATCGTCGGACAATCCTTGAATCTGGATTCTCACCAGATTGAACCGTCTAACATATGAGCGCAAGCCCTCTCTATCTCCCTGCTGCACCGCGGATAAGTCTAGACTTGTCTTCTTGGCAAGGATATTCATAGAGAAGTTGGAAACAAACAAGAACGCAAGCGTCTTGAAGCTGTTGATGCAGCCGACTGGCAAGTTGTCGAACCATTGTTGGGAAATGCCCTACAAAGTAGCCGGGAAGCATCGGCACCAGGCGGCATCATCCAACCCCTACAGATACATGAGGTAGGTGTATGCCAGAAGGTGATCTTCAGGATTGGTGGTACCATCATAGGTGCCCACCAAAACATGTTTAACCTTGGCCGGCTGTGCCACCTCGGTTATTTCCCTAGAGAACGCGAAAGGTTGGTCCCTAAGTTTTAGCAGCTGGAGCTACCAGTCCAAAGGCTGGACATTGTATACTGCCTGACCCCCAAAGAGGGCAGGTTGCATATAAGGTTGGGTAGGCGGCATGTACGACGGTTGGGTCGCGTACTGAGTCTGATTAATAACATGAGGGCCAGTATGGACAGATGGCCCACCTGACTGGCTCCCCTGTACAGAATGAGATCGAGGTATTCTTGAAGCTGTCTGGGTAACTTGACGTTGACGCTGATTCAAACAGCTGTTGATTTCTCTTTTGCTTGATAAAGAGGCGAGCATCAAAGAAGGTCTTCTTGCTACCATCCAGCTGAACATTCCAGATGGCCTTCCTTGTTCCCGTCTCGGGGAAACAGAACTTAGAAAGATCAATCAAAGGCCGAGGCTACTCCTTTGTTTTTGGATGCGGTGTGGCTTCCCGGTCTTTGACAAACTTTGCATTCCCGTGGCAAGAAGACTTTCTTGCCGACTGGCCTTTGCTGGGACCAGCCGTGTTTTTGGTGATCAGGTCCTTGATTTCACCCTTGAAACTTGCCATGAATTTCATGAGCTCGTCTCGGGTGACTAGACCAGACGGCTGACCGAATTATTTGCTTGGGCCTAATTTGTCATCGCCTCGTTCCCTTAGATCTTTGGGACGAGCGCGCCTTATTCGAGTGACCCATCAGGGGCCACATATGTCTCGACGTCAAAGTTGTTATCATAATCATGGTTCTTTTAGACCTCTGGTTCAGCCGTTGGCTGTTTCTGAATGGCATTCGGTACAGGTTCTTGTGAACCATCTTAGAGGTACTCTCCCCACAGATGGCGCCAAATGTTTCGGGGTTTTTTGTGTCCCTCGGGAGAGTTACGTCGCTAAATCTGGATTTTGGGCGCCTGTGCCTGCAAAACAACGTAGACTCCAGGTAGTAGGAGCTCCACCTCCGACGATCAAGTTAGAACCAGTCGAACAATGTAAAAAGGTGCAGAAAAGGTAAAGTGAGATCTTCTCGGATTCCGAGATCAGGTGTTTTCTCTGATGTGAGAGAATTCAGTGTCTGCAATAAATTAACGTGTCCCTGAAATGGGGGAAATCTCCCTGTTTATAGGGTCATTCGAAAATGTGCCCTCTCTTAGGTCATCTTGACCTAGATTTGGTGGGCTGCGCCGTTTTACGGCTTTCTCGGGAATTGGGCCCTAAAGGCCGTCTTTTTCCTTCGCTGATTGGTGGTGCCACGTGTCAGCTGGTGAGTGGCCCTTATTGGACCTGTCATGGGGTGACACGTGTCCCCTTCTGAGTGGACCACGTAGCATGGGTATTTTTACCCAAATCAATAATCAATTAAAATTTGATAAGATATGGGAGCATTATTGATGGATAATTAATATGGTTCGTGGACTATTACTCGATAACACGTTAAAGACCAATTTGTTGATTATTTAGAGTGTCATAGTAGAGCGCCCCCGCCATTGTTCAGCACGCTTGGGCAAGGTGGCTGCGGCCCACTACAAAAGCGCGTCAAAATCGCGCCAAGTTTCTGGAAATTTGCAGAATTTTGGCAGAATAGGGGTGGTGCGCCCGCGCGGCCTTGTGGCGCGCCCGCGCCTGTTTATGTCGCGCCCGCGCTGCTTCCCTTGTCTGCGGTTTTTGCGGTTATTTCCTTTTTTATTTAAAAGGAGTGTTCGTTTTTAAAAGAGAGAGACAAAAAAATTTTCTCGGATCTCCAATTTTTTTTTCTCTTCTCCAAAATTTCTAAAGGAAACTTGCAATCTCTTCTAGAAATCCTCTATCAATGAAGTTTAATTTTTGAGAATTTGATCATCTTACTACAATTCTAGTGCAAAGATTGTAGTGTTTGTCTATTGTATCTCAAAGTGACTTTCCGGTTACAGCCCAAGCACTGTGGTGGGGGAAATAATCACTTTAGGAAAGTGTTTACACGCCTTAGACAAGTATCCGGTATTGAAGACTCACGTGGTCCTTGATATTCTCATGTTCTTGTTGGATTCATTGGCTTGGAGTGAGGCAAGTGTAGAATCTTACACATTAGTGTTTTATTTTTGTAATTTCTAAATTGCTTTGTTTATTTAGTGCTTGGTTTGGAATACTTTAATTAGTATTTGGTTGTTGTATAATTTGATTGGAATTATACACTGTTTAGGTTTTGTTCCCACAATCTTTAAGTAATTCTTAATTTGTTGAATTGCTGTAAAACCTAACACAATAATCTTTGTACTCCGTAATATTTTATTCTTTAGCCAATTGCGTAAGGTTTAAATACAAATTATATGTCATATGAGTAGGCCTGGTTATTGGGTAGGGTTACCCAATGGCAAAAGGGTCGGGCCTAATACTAAAGGGTTTTGACCCTTTAATTTTTTAGTGGACAGGGATTTTATAGGGTCTTATTTTATAGGGCTTTTATAGGGTTTCAATTAGAGCCCAATAATTTAAGAATTAAAATAAAAAGCCTAATAATAATGGTTAAGGGTCAGCCCTACTCACCCCTTCTCTGACTTAACCCCAATAATAATTTCCAGATTCCTTTCTCTCTCCTTCATTAAAGCGCACTCAGAGTTCTCCATTGAAGCCGCTTCTCAGCTTCTTAGGTATCATCATTTTCTCTCTCTTAATATTTTCTTCAATTTTGATTCATGTTTTCGTTTTGTTAATGTTATTAATATGTTGTTCCTTATTTGTCTCGAATAATTTATTATTATTCCTGTTATTATTCCTGTTGTAGTTATATAATTCTACTGTAATGAGAGCCATCAAAATAAAAAAATGGTAGTAAAGATTTGCTTGGCAGTGTGTAGATTTTCACTAAATTCATTTGAGGTTAGTTAATTTCGATTATTTTGCTATATGATTCGACATAATTCTTCAAAAATTTTTAACATTTTTGGGATTAAATTATCGAATTAGCTTTAATCTCTGTGTTTCTCATATGCAATTTGAGCAATGTTCACTGTTTTGATGTGTTCATATTCAAATTTCGATTAACTTGATCAATGTTTTGCTCGAAGTTTCAATTTCACTGTATAATATTTATCATCAAACTTTTAAATTGTTGATCATCTATGCATTACGCTGAAGCTTGATCTCTGATATCCAATCTTTTTTCTGTCTGATTCAAAATATAGTACTTAGAATTGTGCAATGTGTTCCTTAATATGGATGATGATACTACTACTACTTCTACGACATGTGATGATGGATATAATGAATACATCACTCCGCAATGAAAGAGAAAGAAGAGGTCTAAAGTTTGGAGAGAGCTTATTGAAGGGAAGAATGTTCAAGGTGAGAAAATTGCTACATGTGTACATTGTAATTCTATTTTATCTGCACATCGTGATAGTGGTACATCTCATTTGAAGCATCATTTAGAGAGGTGTGCAAATAGGCCTCTAGACTTACATTTGAGGAAGATAGTGATGAAGAAAATTTTGTTTTTGACATGAATGAACTTTAAAAGAGATTCTTAATTTCATTGTTGAGGGAGGTCATTCATTCACTATGGTTGAAGAACAAGGATTTAGGAAAATGATGAAAAGAGCTACCCCTAAGTTTATACCATTTGGCCGTGCAACCACAAAGAGAGATTTATTGAAGGCTTATGTATTGGAGAGGGATAAATTGAAAGATTTGTTGTCTAATGTTTCGGGTAGAATTTGTTTAACAACCGATAATTGGAAATCAAATCATACTAGACAACATTCATTTGTGTCACTTCTCACTTTGTTGATGGTTCTTGGAAACTCCGTAAAAAAATTCTTAGGTTTAGGGCCTTGGCTCCTCCATATGATGGGGTAAGTATTGTTAATGAGATTTGTATGTTTCTTTGCCAATGGAAATTAGATGATAGGATACTCTCTATCACCGTTGATAATGCAACTTATAATGATGCAATGATAAGTTGCAATATGCTAGTAGTTGAAATTAGATGGTGCATTGCCATTTGCTTGAGGCGGAGAAAGGTCCTTATGATTATTTAAAGGAAATGGTGAAACCAATGCTTGAAAAATTTGACAAGTATTAGTCAGATTACAATTTGTACTTGTCATGTGCCGCCATTCTTGATCCGAGGTACAAAGTGAAATATGTGGAATATTGTTTTAGTAAGTTATATGGAAGTGTAGAGGCCTCATGACGAATTAACTTGGTGTTGGGAACTATGAAGTCAATGTATGAGGATTATAAGTTGCAATATGCTAGTAGTTCACCTGTTGTAGTTGCTCCTTCTCCTCCTAGTACTTCCGGAGCTAGAAACTACTTTAATGATTATGACCATTTTGTCGGTACTAGTGCAAGGTCTCAAGTAGGGAAGTCACAACTTGAGATGTACCTAGATGATGATGCTTTAGATATTTTGGAGTTTTGGCAGCAAAGTTATGTGAGGTATCCAGTGGTATCTAAGATGGCACGGGATTTGTTGACTATTCCTGTAAGTACTGTAGCTTCGGAGTCTGCTTTTAGTATTGGAGGAAAAACTGTTTCGGCATCGCGAAGTTCATTACAGTCAAAAACAATTCAAGCTTTAGTATGTATGCAAGATTGGCATCGTGAAAGCAATCAAGTAGAGGTTGATAGTAAACTTGAAGATGAAATCATTGAAGAAGAAGAGGATGATGATGCAGACCCTTTTTGCTAGGTAATATTCTCCTGTTCATTTCTCAAGCCTAGAATACAGTAAGGAAAGACAACCTTATTTCTAAATTGCCTGTATATACCCTTCAATGCTGTTTCTGTTTAATACTTGGTTAGTCTAAATGTTGTTTTTCCTAGAAGTGCCTGTATATACCTTTCAATGTTGTTTCTGTTTAATACTAGGTTAGTCTGTGCCTAGCTTGATGCTCCTGCTGCTTGCCTTTGTTTCTTTGGTAGTGTTGCTGAATTGGTGTTACTGCCAGGATTTTGTGCTTATTGGTGGGTCTATTTGGTTGGCTTGCTGGCCAGCTTGCCATGCTGTTGATAATTCTGCTTCTGGGATGCTGCTGGATGCTTCTTGCTAGGCTGCTATCTCTGTTTTGCTAGGTTGCTGAAGCTGCCAGCTGCTTGTTCCTGCTAGGCTGCTGTCTCTGTTATAGTCATATTCAATTAGTAATACTAGTACTTTGATGTTACTATTTTAAATTTTTTTTAGTGAACCATATCACTAATGTGATTGTAAAAATAAAAAAAAAAATATATTAAATTTGGGTAAAGGCCCGTTAACGGCCCGTTTCACTTTTATCTCGACCCTAACCCGACCCTGACCCGCTAAATATTCACCATGACCCGCAACCGACCCGCGCCGCTAATGACCCGCACCGGCCCGCACTGACCCGCCCAATAACCACCCCTACATATGAGTATATGACAGAATATAATCATTTTTATAGTACTTGTTTTACATATTTCTTTTGTATATATGAGTTTGTGTACATTAGGAAGTTGGAATATTTTCCTTAGTTAGCTAACTTTATGTGAGTAACATTAAGTCAACTATTCTCCTAGATACGGAGTAGTAGTCTTATTATTCTCCTAGATAATATGTTAGGCTAACTACATATATGCTTTGTAATGGCTTTGTAGTTTGTACATTGTATATATTACTAATTACTAATCTCAGAAGGAATGAAGGGGAATTGAGGGACGGTTCAACTAGAATATTTTACCTTTCATATAAATTTCCTTACAAGTTAGGGAGAATACCAGAGAAGAATTCAAAGATATTATTATTGAATTGTATTTAGAACGGTTTTAAATTATCATCTTTATTTTATAATAAACAGTAACAATTAAATATATATTATGAAAATACACTATGATACAAATCCAATAAAATATCAAATATTTGGAATGAAATGATTACAATATAAGATAAATCGTTTATACGTTGTGCTCTGATGGTTAGCAGGAGTATTTTTACTTCAACTTCTCCATTTGCAAGTCACTCACACACGTAGCTTAGCTTGAATGATCCAACGAACATACTTGTATTTGGGTAATTGAAAAGGCTAAGCAATTTTAGCTTTCTTCATAGACCAAGCAGTCAACGAAGTAATTCTAACACTTTCTGTTCCATAGTTGAAGGCATACAAAATAGGCAGCTTCATGTATTGCCAAAGTTGGATACACCCTTCGATGTAATTACATTCTTTCCGTTTCCTCCAAAGCTTTCCACTACTGAGTGATCAATCTGTCACCAACAACAAAACACAAATCTTGTTACACCGAAATACTCCCTTAGTCTACAAATAACATTAATCAATATCTTAAGGGCACGGATGTAACAATTAGACAATTATAGATAAAAGCAAAGTATGCTAGCTTTACCAAAATTCTCAAAGACAATCCTTCGTGGATAGGATCTACATCCATAAAAGTTCCATAAGTTGTTTTATCTGGAGTTGGATTTAGAGATGACCTACAAAATCACAATAAATAAACAAATAGTAATAAAAGTAAGGCTCAGTCACTTCACCTTATTTTTGCTGAACTGAAATCATTTTTGCTGAACTGAAATTATTTTTACTGAATCTCTATTACATTTCTTCGTTACTGATTTTTACTGAATACGAAGTATTATTTTTTTTAAGGTGAAATGAATAGAGCCTAAGCCAATTATAATGATTATACCCTAAATATAACATTAATGCGTAAAGAGTTAATCAATAAATTAAAAGTTTATTGATTAGTGAGAGATTAGTCACCTGCTTTGATCACTACACATAAGGACCACAAATTTACTGTCATGGGCTTTGAAAATTCTGAAAAAGACAGCAGTATACTCTTCCAGGCCCTTTGAAGCCAAAGTCAGTAACCCGAATGGGCCAAGCCCACCACTATCCGAGGTCCCTTTTTTACTACAAAGCAATTGTGGGTCGGTCCAACTTGCATCAACTTCTCTATATTCTTCATCTCATGAATTCCAAATGATATTTCTACGTCTGCCTATAAATTGGAACACAAAAAAATCAACCAAATACTCAGAATGTTATATTAATGGTCACTAAGAAATTGGCAAGCTATTTTGACTAATAATTGAAAGCAAATAATAGTATATGAAGTACGGAGTATAAAATTACTTGAGCAGCAGTAACACCAGAAATTTCTACGAGTGTTCCTCCTTAAATCACTTGGGCAGGTTTACGGGTTGGTTTTCCTCTCAAGGCTTCAATTTCGGAAATTGGCCATTGAATCAACTGCTTCCCACGTTTATCTAGCCAAATTCTTCTAGGAATTGTCTGCATTAATATTTAAATTAAATTAAATTATTTTACGTAATCATTATACAGTATACACAGAACAAAAAGAAAAACGAAATAAACTTACATGAATGCCGGACCATCCTTTTTTCATGTCATCTGCCACGCTTGAGGATTCATTTGCCCACCCGAGTAAAATCCCTCTCAGTTGTGTCCTCAAAAAATGTCTTAGACGCGTAATATTTACCATAATCATACCTCAAACTCGAGTCGTTCATAAAACCAACATCAGGAACATAAGCATCCTTCTTAGGCTTATAAGTTCCAATCGTATATATATCATGCTTAGTATCATCCAAACTATTTTTAAGCACATGCTTAATATGTGGACCAATTACAGAAGTATCGACACCATTTTTTTTACCACTTATGTAAACGGGAAAAAAATCAGGACATTCCCACATGCCACTAAGTTTATAAGAATATAGTGGGCTTTTAGCTTGAACCCAATGAACGAAATCCTTACTTTTAAATAGTAAGGAGGTTCCAGTTTTCCAGTCTTGCTTCCAACAAGCACTCTCCATATTCCATCCGATAGTATCCAAGCCGTAGTCGGGTCCCGAAATGAGCTGGCATTAATATTATTTTCAGGTGAAGGGAACATTACAGGGTGCCCATTCTTTGAGATATGGGTCTGATAAATCTTTAGGGAAGCCCAAATCCTGAACTTGTTCATATTTAGAGTTAAGCCCAGTGAAAAGCATTGCAGGTCTACTTCCTGGGAGTATTGTGGCTGACCCAGACCAACTTCCATTGATGTTGGCTTCCATTTGGGGTTCAATGGCTATAGGTTGTGGGTCCAGTTGACTAGATCGGTCGATGTTGAGTGGGCCAATACACCATTAGGATTGTATTGGTAAAATAAATGATAAATTCCTTTGTATATCATTGGTCATGTAATAAAAAAGTTACTTTTTGAGTAAATTAAAGAGACTTGAAAAGACATTGCATACTTTATATGGAAAAAAATAAATCATTTCATCTATATTCTTTAGTCTTACACAAATCTAACCTATATTTTATAACCGGTCGTAACTACGAGTAGAAATATATTTTTTATATTTTTTGGCCTGTTTTGATCCAAATTTGTTTAAAATTGGTAGAATGGATCGAATTATATTTGCATAAAATATTCTTAAATGATTAATTTTCTCTTTCATTATGTTAGAGAAATTATCATGATACGAGCTATATTATAATAGCCTTTTAAGATCGGCATTTAACAATTAATTTCTATTTTTTTAAATACTGAAATATAGAAACAAAAATCTAAAAATGGTCTAAATCAGTATGGCTTGGGTTTGTAACCAAGTTTATCGATATGGTATGGTTTTGATCCTTACTTGCATGTATAACTGGTCCAATAATCCATGTCCGTAGTTTTAATATTTTTGGTCTTTGGTTTGGTCTACTTCGGTCCAGTCCATTTTGGTTTTGGACAACTAAACAACTCTAGAGCTATTCGATAAAAAATGAAAATTAAGGAGCAATATTTTTTTATTAAAAAAAAAAAATACACAATAATAGTTGTGCTTAATGTATTCCTTCAGCATCATTTCCATAAGTAAGGCTATTAGGACATATAAGAAAACTAAAACTTGAGCTTTATAGTATATGTAACTAAGCTATTTTTAAAACTATGACAAATTTTTACGACTTTGTATATAACTTCGTAGTATTAATAAAAAAGATGGATGGACTCAATAGAGCTGAGCATTTATTTGTTGCATTAACCCAAATTAAACTTTAATGTTCATTTAAATAATACACGTCTCATCATTCTTTCTATGGATGCAATACCGAAAATATACTAACGTACTATATACTTCAAATAAATTAATTATAGTAATACTTGTATAAGTAAATTGGGCATATATATTAGAGTTGACTTTATTTAGCTTGGGAAACATTTAAGAAAGAAAAAGAGAAAGGGTAAAAAAAAAAAAAAACCACTAACCATTAGGATCTTGAATATCCAATTAGCGCAATCCACCATCACATAACCAAAGATGAAAAGTTGCATTACATCAAGATTCAAGAGTAATAACAATTTAACAAACAAAATTCACAAAAATATTGGCAAAAAATAATAAGGTAACTTAGTAATACATATACATCACAAATTCACAGTGTTATAAACGATTGACGTCCATGCGACCATGCATATTCATACGGTACAAAGAAGCAAGGTAGTAGCTACCCAACAACTTAGGGATGAAACTCGAAATAGAGTCTAAATAACCAGACATGTGTTGAATTCAACGTAACATCAGGAGTAAACAACGATAGATTAGCTAGATTTATTTTAACGAGTTAATAAATTACATATGAGAAAGGTAAGTTAAAATAGTTTTCAGAAAAAAGGTAAGTTAATATAAGCCCAAGCCAGCATATAGCTAAT